TGATTCATTTCGATATTTTCTCCAAATTTTTTAGAGTAAGGCTGTGTCTTTTACCTGTTAAAATCAGTTTGAAAGCTGAAAATGACCTTTATACTGACATAGATTTATAGGAGCAAACATAAACTTAAAAAACAACAACAACCTTGTCAACTGCGCAGCTGCACCAGGAATGGGTGCAATTCCCTAAGAAGTGCATGCTCATCGGAGACGTGCGTGAAATTTCCTTTTTATGTTGACTTGCAGAACTCTATATTTGGTGTGTTGAGTGAGATATTTCAGTGCATAGTCTATTGCAAATTCGATCAGATAATATTGCGTTTCAGGAAATTCGGGAAAGTATTTGTATTTCTATAAAATAAATTTCAAAAATTAGTAGCCTAATTAAAATATGTCATTTCTTCAAAATTATTTGTTTTAGGCAAAAATATATTATAGGCATGAACCGCCCTTTAAGGACGTTTTAAGCACTATTAGGTGCTTTCAGTAAATCTTTTTTTTCTTTCATGAATCGTGAACATCAATTATTTTCCGCAACATCCTAAAGGAACAAAATGGTAATTTGTTCTAAAATCCTAGGTTTAGTCATCTCACATTCAGCCAATCGCAGCGCGAGAATGATAGGGAGTGGCTAGCGGAACAGAGGACGTTTTCTCGCGCAGATGTCAAATGTCCGAGACGTCACAAGAACATTGTTCGCAAAATTAAGTTTCATTCTCTCAAAAAATTATGATACTTTTATACATAAAAGTGGCATATGCGACTCGCTTACAATTCCGCTTTATTACATTCGAACAAATTAAAAAACTCGCTCCTAACGTCGCTTGTTTTCAAAACGTACTCACGCAGTAAAGCTTAATATTATAAACTTTCGTAATTGAATAAAATACTATTAAAAAAGCACTTGTGTCCGCCGTGTGTCTTCTCGTTTTTTGGCAGTTCCTGGTTCTACGCCTGCCGAAAGGTTATGGGAATTTATGTAACCTATCATCCTATTATAAAGTTGTGAAAATCATAAAAATTAATATTCTTAATATTATTATTATTAACATATAGCAATTATAATGTATCAATGTAATTTTACTTATTTTACAATAAATCAAAATTGTCTTGTTTAATATAATGGTTATTTAAACATACAGATTAAAATGCGAAATTTCTAAATCATTCTGTGTTATAACATTCTCCCACAATAAGTCTTTGCTTTACTCTTATTTTACAGGCACAGCACAAGTGCTTTTCATAAACACGAATATTGATTGGCACAAAAATTCTACATACCTTGTGCGCGTTTCTCTAGTCGCACTGGGAATGTGTTAAGTTACCCTAAAATAACTAAAACTGTAAAGATCAAAACTAACGATTTAAAAATGCAGGACCTGACTGGTTCTCCCAGTATCCCGGCGGTCATTATAAACAAAGTACAATTTTGGTGAGTCAAATGAGCAAAAGATAAAGATCAAAATTACAGCCACTTTTAAGAAAATAAATGGATTGTTTTTAATGCTCAAAGTTGCCAGGTCACTTGACCTCGACTCAGCAATATGTTACTGGATTAATTTCGTTTCAGAAGAAAAATTATTGATGATGACTATGACGAACTAATTGATCAAGTTAATTCCATAATCGCTCGCAGCCAAGAATATTTAGATCTTATATTCCTTGTTCTTTACCTGGTGGTATATTCTTAGATAGGTTTCTAGGAGTTTAAACGTGCTTACTTTTGTTTTCCAAGTTTAACTTTCATTGATAATTTTTTGAGGGAGAAGTTAAATTGTTGTGTCAAAATAGTATTCTCATATTCATTACAACAGTCATCAGCAAAATTCAATCATTTGTATTCATGTGGATATTTGAAAATGTTCAAAAACTATTATTAAAGTTTTTTTAGAGTAGAGCGTGAATGTCACTTATAAATGATGATCAACCTACTTATTTAATTGTTAATTGATTTAAGCAACACTGTTCATACAGATTTAGGCATCATTGGGTAACAGATGAACTGAAAAATATATCCTACACTGAAAGAATAATGAACCAAAATTTTTAAATCGCTGGATTGGCCAACCGGTTCTCGGGACCACTCTGTGATGTATTCGAGGCGAGTGACGTCTCATTCAGTAACTTTAAAAGTTTTAGGAAATAATCGCGACCTCAGGGTTATTTCATGTATGTTACTTTGCATTTCTTGACATGGATATTTTCTCTTATTGTAGCAAAACTTACATTCAAGTGTATCAGGGTAATGAGAGTCAATATGATTGTTACGTGCGTCTTTCTAGCGCATTCAAATCGAACGCGCCAACTGAGGTTGTTGCGCCACAAAAATTAGTTCCGCACATGTACAGCATCTACTCGCATTCTGCTTCATCATATATTTTATTCACAAAAAATCGCGTAATTCACTACACCCAGACTATAAAACGTTATATAGTGGTGTAATTAAAATCCATCAATACAGTCTTATGTCGTAAGAATACTAATTCTCAGCGTCACGTGAACAAAACTTCCGCTTGTTAAAAAAGTGCGTACTTACAGTGCTCTCAAGTTGAGTTCAAAGTCAAGCTCCTCTCCTGCGTACTTGTTTAAAATGTCGTCGATAAAAGAAAACATGGACTCTTGGAGCGGCCGTAACGAAGTGAAGGGGTCGCGAGTCGAGGGTGCCCGCATGTCAGTTCCTCTCCGCCCCCACCCCCCTTCCCGCCCCCGCCGAAGAGTGCGTCCGGTAGGCTGTGCGGGCAGGTCGATACGTTCATTCTAGTACCAGGCCGTGCTACCTGAATGTACCTGGAAGGCAATCGATATTCAGCGTTGCAGAGCAACCACGTGCACTCATGAAGCAAAACTTCTCACGGAAGAAACGAACAGGCTGACGTGAATGCATGCGTTCTATGAACAAGTGAGATGAAGGTCACGAAAGCAATATCCTCGAACATCAAGCGAAGGATCACAAAGAATCGGGAGAACCTACTTGCCTTCGCATTGAAACGTTGAAAATTGAAAACAATAGGGTAAATGTATACACACGAGCAGAGAGGTACGTCTACAACTTCGTTCAACTCTCAAATTACAATTTTTAATGTGAAAATAAGAAAGCAAGAAATATAGGGGAAACTGAGAAGAAAGTTATCTACATTTGGGAACCCATCGTTGCAGGATTTTTTTCTTTCTTATGAGTGTTTTAACATTTCTTTTCGTATTTCATGAGAATTTTAACTTCATGGCGTAAATATATTTCCGAGGAAAAATTTGCCAATAGTTTTATGTGAAAATGTTTCATCCCACAAATTAAACTTATTTACAAATTTTCAACTTTTCCAAAACATAACCTGGATTAAAGAATAATGTTGAAATGAGACCTGAATGAAATTTTAAGTATAAATTTCACACCTCCTTCAAAACTTCCGCTTGTTACACATTCGACATTACATTGTACATTTTCGATATTTGTATTTCCATTTTATTAAAAGAAAAGTATTGCTTCGCTCGTTAAACCGGGCTGAGATCAGAATGAACGACAAAATAACTATACACAAAAACTGTAGTACATGAAATTTCAAGTATTTTAGGACACTAAAAGTTAATTTTAGTAAGTTATTACATAAATCAGTGTCTTGTCAAAGTATAGGAATTGTTTTGTTACATTTCTGTTGGACGAATTCAATAGGTTTATTATACACAATAAATTCAAGCAACGTGCAAACAGTGTTAAAGTTGGATCCGTGAGGGGTTGTTGGGGAGGAGGTTCTTGGCGTCACCGTCTGTTGTTAAACTTTGCATGATAGCTGGAGTTGCCAACACCATTTAGGACTATGAAATCATATTGGAAAAAATATACTTTTAAAATGCACAAATTTGAATCTAAGGCCCAAGGGCGTATTGCTGACTTTTGTCGCAACTTCTCACATATAACAATTAAAGGCGTTGTCATTGTCAACAATATTGTTGGCAATGACAACGCCTTTAATTATTTCAAGTGCCAACGACAACTACGCTACAAGGGCAACATCGCTAAACCAATATTCTCAAATATAATTACTTTTAAACGGATGAAATAATGTATTTAAATATTTTAAAGACTAATGTGATGTTTATTAGTAATTGAAATGTACTTTCCATATCAAGTGCTATTAGTTCCTAATGTTATTCCCGTGCCTATTTGGAAGGCAATACTTCGTTTACATTGATTTGAATACATAGAATGTATGCGGATTTAAACTGTTCGAAGATTTGAAACGAAGTTAAGAAAGAGTATACTGTGTATTCGTTACACACACGAAATGGCTATGTTGAGCCATAGTAGTACTGCTGTAACAGGAATATCCGTATTCAAGTGATTCTTTTTTTCGATTAAATCTAACACATCATTATAATTTTGCATTCACAAATTAAATTTTGAAATACACATTATTTATTTAACCGAACAATGTAATTTAATGAATACCCTTTTATACACTTTTGAATTTCATACTTAAGAAAGCAAGAACATCGAGTGTGATAGAGTGCGAGTTCACGTGTGTGTGTGTGTGTGTGTGTGTGTGTGTGTGTGTTTATATGGATGAGGGAGCGAAATGTGTCAAGCAGAAGGTATTTCCGCTTCGCTTGCCTTTCCTGATTATGACGTAATGGAAAACATAATTACTGCATTTGTTTCAGTGTTTATTTAAGTGTCGTTAATATGTCACCCTTATGTGGTTTCGCCGCACGAGCGATGCATATGTGCCAGGGGAAACAGTGTAGTAGAAGCTAGCGAAGATAGAAGTAACTGATGTTTTAGCATCTTTCTGACTCGAGCCCTTCGGGCAAACTATTCATATGTTCTAGTTGTTCGTCAGACTCGAGTTAAAAAGAATGCGAACGACAACGCGTATTGTTGACTGTTGCTGTGATAAATATACAGTATTTTGTTTTTCTTGATATTAGTTATATTAAATTCACAATGATTTTCCACAATCTTCGTTATTTTAGATGTTTAACGCCAAACTTTTTGTACAGCAAAAGGAATGCATTTGAAGTTACCTCCAGCAGGCCTGGAAAGTAAGTCAAGATAATATATATATGTTTCTGGTCCTTGAGAAACTATGAACCATGTATTCAATTTATAAAATAATATAAATATTCAATTTATTTTGATATGTTTTTATAAATAACTTAGTTTTTTGTTGATATGTATCATCTTTAGTTTACAACTAACTCAAGTAGTAGTGAGAAAATGAGGTTATTGTTTTGCTGTTTGTATTAATCCTTGAAATGCTTGGAAGGAAAGCTTCTTTGTCCTTTTCATGTTGTCGAAAGTGATGTGATTACTTTATTTACATAAATTACTTCGAAAAGACGAGTGCCGTAGGTCAATCATGAGGTATATGCTTATGGCGCCATTCAATCGATCTGCCTTTTGTTTACTCCATCGGATTCGAACTGATGTTTTGGGGTTATTGTATTTTTCAGCGTGAACATACTCGCGGCACGCTCTTTACCCGTCGAGACTACAGTGGAACTTAATAATGGAAAGCAAATGCCCATAGTTGGATGTGAGCTGTGTTTTTACATTGCTAATGTAATCGATTAAACTATTAATAGACATGTAAAGTTATTAAATTAAGACCGTATTTTTCAATATTTGACCTTCAATCGGATCTATGTTGATGTTTGTGGCAGTGATTTGAGAGTGGTATTAAAATGCTGGTATGCTTTGGTATATTCCTTGTTTCTAGTGGGAACATTCAGAGTGACTGGTGGGAATAACATATATAGATGTATTGAAGCTGCCCTGAAAACAGGATACAGATTAATAGGTAATTATCAATTTATTATGTTAAAAGTTTATGGAATATTACTACTAAATTTGTTAGGTTGAACTGTAATATATTGAATCTATTGTTTTATAAAGTAATTATTTGCCCATTGACACTTCCTCTTGTCATTTCAATTATGAAGTATACCCATACTGTACTTATTGCCTTTGAAACATTTTACAAGTAGGATTTTGTAGTGATTTTATTACAGATACAGCAGCTGTTTATAACAATGAAGAAGATATAGGCAAAGCTCTGGCAGAATTGCTACCCAAGTTTAATTTGAAACGAGAAGATATCTTCATTACAAGCAAATTGTGTAAGTTTTTGACATTGTTAATTTAAATGAATGTTTTTGGGCCAAAGTTAAATATTACATGACAACTCTGTCTGTTTACATATGCAAGATAGAGATTCGTTAAATGTTTAATTTAAACCATATGACAACTATTAAAACTCGAGATTTTTTTGTTTTAATCCTCATTGATTGAAATATGGGATTTCCCTGATAAGTTAATGATAAAAAAAATTATTTGTATATATTTCATAATATATTTGCCAGAGATCTAAAATTTGATATCACAATTACGTAGTGTTTAGTTTTTTTTATAACTTCACTTCTTAGAATGAATTGGTTCACAGGTTCATAACTGGTTTACTCCTGATATTTTTACTTTTAATTAAAAAATTACTTAAGTTTTTTTCTTCTTCTGTAATTTACTATTTCTCAAATGTAATTTGAATGAAAATATTTTATATGGATGCTTCTATAACGATTCATACCCAACATTTTTATGTCAAGAGTAAAAAAATACTCCTCAGTAAAAAAAATTAATTTTTATTACTGAGGAAATTAATTTTTAAGAGATGAAAAGAAGCTGAATAATGCAGCTAAGATAATAAGGAATGATAATATTAGGAAATTTTTTCCTTTATGCTATTGGAATAATCTTTGTTCCTTGGAAACACGGTTTTAAACATTTTGATTGTATGAATGTATTATTTTTTTATTTAGTCTTATATCAAAATTTGAAACATTTCAATTGGATTATTAAATATAGTAATTAATAAAATATTTATATTGCTTTTACCTATTTGAATTAAAAATTGTTTTACAAATAAGTGTTTTTGCCTTGCTTTTAAGACTTGCTAAAACTTGAATGATATAAAAAGAAATATTTTGAAAATAATTTTAATGTGTTATCTAATATTAAGACAGAATGTGTATAAGTGCCACATAAATAAAGTACAAAAGTAAATATTGTGTTTTGACTTATTTCATTAAGACATTTCTCTAACTTACTTTGTTTGGAAATTGTTTTGTATCTCCATTGTGATAACACTCCCTGATGATAATTGTTATGCTCAGTCATAAATACCAACATTTTGGTGAAACTAATTTTAATAAGAGAAAAATCAAGTTTGATTCACTAATATTGTTGATTTTGTAATACTTAAAATACAAATTTTTCTTACATTCTGGTAACTAATGCATTAAAACTCAATAATTAAAATTAAAAGAGTGCTAATGTGATACCATTTTCACATGAATTCAATTGAAAATGTTGCATTGAGAAAAACTATAATAATTAACAAATGTTTTAACTGTTTGGGATTTTCCAGAATCATTTAATGTTGTAGTTTGATGCAATATTGAGAAGATATTATTTTTTACATGTAAAATTGGTGAAGAATGAAAATAAAACTACTAATTTATACATATCATTAAATTGATTTTGATTAGTGTTGCTAAAGAGTAATTGCAGTGTCATTTAAATAATGTTACCAAACATCCAAATTTTTCAGTATTAACAGGCTTATTTTGATGTAAATATAAAAAAATACTATTTTGTAGTATATTTTTAGGTTTTAAAATATGATTTAAGAAAATAAACTGCATTTTAAATAAATTTCATATCTATTGTAATTTAATAGAGTATATGAGAATATTTCTCTCCACTTTTATTAATATTTCAATATTTTTTGAATTAGAATGATGAATAAGAATGCTTAGGGAAGCTGATAAAATTTAGAAAAAAATGTAAATTTTTTCTAAAAATTTAATATTAGTTAAGAATGAAAATGGTTCATTTTTTGTTTCAAGATATTGCAGCACACACATTATTTCAAATGTAAATGTTCTCTCTTTTTAAATATATCAATAAATAACCAAAAAATTGATCACAATTTTTTAATGACTGGTATTGCATCATAGTTGAGAAGTCTGTAATGTCACAATAATAATGGTCATTGTTTTGGAGGCCAAAGGAAAAATGAAATGCCTGTAAACCCAGATAGTTCTCCATAATTGTAACTTGTATAGTCCTTACTGGTATCTACACACTTATTGAAGTTCCATGAAAATGCTTGAGAAGAATAACGTTTGATTTTTAGTAATTCTAAGAACTTTTTTATAGATGTGGGAAGTGTAGGTTATCATTATGTACTCCTTGAATTCTTTAGGTGTTTTTGTTCTTAAGGGGTATAAATTACTAAAAACAATCTGCAAATTTAATATTTTGAATTTGTTTGGGAATGTCAGTCTGAATTATGAATCTTTGTTACTAATTTTTTGAAGACTTGTTGAAAATTTCATTGTTATCCAAAATAAATATTTTTTCCTGTTTCTTGTAGCTCCCTCAGATCTACGTCATGACAAAGTTGAGAAAGCTGTTATGACATCATGTACCAAGCTGGGCACTTCATATTTGGATTTGTATTTGATTCATTGGCCGGGTGCTGCAGGCGTGCCTGGTACAGATTCTATTAATGCTACCTTACGAAGTGGAGTGTGGGCGGCTTTAACAAAGCTGTACCAGAAAAATATTGTACATGCTATAGGTGTATCAAACTACACTGTTGACCATCTGAAAAAGCTACTAAGTAATGATTATGGAGTGAAACCTGCTGTAAACCAGGTAAAGCATATTATTTTATTATAAATGAGAAATTGTGAAATAATGAATTATTTTGATTTATACACTTTTGTGAGGTGGTTTTATTGCTGAAATGAAACTGGGTATTTATGTACTATCCATGTCCTCTGTGGGGATGAATAGAGAGAAATCACCATCAATTTTTTTCTGCAGAAAAGGCTTAGATAAAAATTATGTATTGTCAATAATAAGAAAGCTATCAAAACCGGATATATTGAGGCAAAAATAAATGTATACATGATGAAATTCCAAGATAAAACTGCACAAGATAATTCGTAAACAAATTTCAACTCAAAAGAAATTAGAACAGAAAATATTCCCATTTGTTTCAATAATTTATATTAACATTACACAACATATTCTGTTTCTAGTAGACTTGTAGATTTGTTGAGGATGTTCCTTCAGTCAACACATTCTCAAAGTAATGAAACCAGCATGTTCTTGAATTGTTTATCTGAGGATCAAAAACAAAGCTGACTGTGAGAGCAAGGTCCAGGTAATATTCTAAATAGGGAAAATATGCCATACAAAAAACTTCTTCACTGAGAGATTCAATTCTTATGCGAAGTTACATTGTTATGATGCAAAAAGTTTTCTTTAACATGAAGTACAGACCTCTTTTCTGACGGTATTTAGCATTTTATTGTTTACTATATTCTTTGGTTATTTCTTCGTTAATAACAACTGATATGATGCATTTTCTCAGATGGAACTTACTCAATGTACAGAAAACATAATAGAGTACATATTTTCAGTTATTCTGTTCTTCAATCAAGTCATCTTTAAAAAATATGATAATAAACACATTTTTACATACTTGATTAAAAGTTCCATTGCCTCTAAGTAAATTCAATGATAGCATTGCTGAAAAATCAAATAATGCAATTGTCATTACCTGTCCGTTTTTGGTTTCTTGTCCTTACTTCAGACGAAGAGAAAGTATTGTAATCATGCGCAATGGACAAAGGCAGGTTTTTGACAGAAAATCTTTTATTGTTAAGCCCTGATTTTGAACGAAAACTAGGAATCTTGTTTCTATGTGTAGGAAGTTACCTCTTCAACACATTGTACCATCACAATCCATGTTTTTTTTGTGTCTTTGATCTTGAAAAATTGATTCACTTCAAAACATCTGTCTGTGGTCAACGCTGTCACCTAAACCGTTCTGACAATGTTCTCCAAAAGGGATGTTCCTCAATAAATGTAAATGAACCTGAGGCCCGAGTTTGAAATGGATATTTTGACTTTTGGGATACTTAACATGAAGCCTTAACTACATTTTGAACATTTTCTCAACAAGGCTCCAAATTTTTGGGTTAAACATTGTCCTCAGGTAGCATGAAGAATGCTTAAGAGAATAGTGCAGGTTTCATTTTCATTGAAGTTGGATTTTACAAAACTTGCAAAAGTACAAACATTTTTTTATAACTACAATATTGAAATGGAGATTATTTTTCCTTAATGAAATCTGTTCATTAAGTAAGGTCATGTACAATTTTTTGAAAACGTGAGTAGTTTACACCTAATTTTGCTTGAAATGTAGACAATTTTTAAACAATTGTTTTCTCAAAAACGTCTTCAAGTTTTTAAAGTAAATTTTCTCCTTAGGTGTATCAAAGGGCAGGGGAAAAAATGGTCTAGTCTCATTTATGGCAAACTCTCTATTTTCTGAAATTACTTATTATAAAAAACGTAAAAGTTAACATTTCAAAACTATAAAATCAAAAATAGAGATTTTTAACTTGAACAAAAACGGATTAAATAATAAACTAGCTCTTTAAAACAGGTCATTGAAATTTTTTAAAAATCTAGTAGATTTGGCATAATTGGTGCTAGAAATTAATGTAATTTATTAATAATACTTTTTTTTTTCCAAAAATGCTTCAAACTTTTTCCCCGGATAAAACAAGGGATGGTTGTAAGAATGACACGTCTCATTGTTTTTAAACTCAGACTTTTTGAAAATTTGCTTGTTGGAAGTAATGGGAGTGATAATTAGATTTTTAAGCATTGGCCTAAGCTTTCTTTTCATTGAACCTTAAATATCAACACGGTGAAAATCCTTTTGACTTGAGTGTTTGCAGAGGTGATTATGCTATATAAAACGACAGACATTTAATTTTTCTTTTCTAATTCAAATTACTTTCAGGGCCGGTCTGAACACAATCTATAGGAAATTCTGTTCCCAGATGATTCATCTGCATTTACAGCAGACATCCTCAGTGATGAAAAGTAACTTGAATTGTGAATCCAGCCACAAAAGTTTCTATGGCTCTATACTTTTATAGTTTTTATATTCGATTTCAAATTTACTATTTTTAAGTATATAGTACCCTATTTTTATTTAAAGTTACAATACATGAGAGAATGTTAATAAGACCAGAATCACTGCCTGCATTACATCAAAGCCAACATTACCTTTGTCTTTGAACTTTGACAAGGAAGTACTAGTTTTTGAGTCCCGAAGGTGGTGGATTTTTGTCATTAGCTGTGTAGCTAGGTTGAATTCTGTGCTACCTGGAGAAGAATTTGAGTGCGCAGCTGCTCTGATTGGTAGTTTTCTGTGATGTCTATGATTAATACCAGGCAAATATTGGGGCAATACCCTAACAAACGGTGCTAGGGACCAGGAGTAATCTTTCTTTTCTCTTCCTTGTCATATCTTCTCCCCTTACACACTGATATGCACTACACTGCCACTCATCAAGAGACCAGTCAGGAGTGTAGAGCTTGTCCGGGCTGGGGAGGTGCCCCTCTGGGCGGTGATGCCTTGAGTTCGCCTTAAGCTGACTTGTATGTCAGCATTAGATCTCATTGTTTAGCAGGGGAGGAACATCACCATTTCCCAGGACAAGATGTTTTTTACACAAACATGGCGAATGACTGTAGCAGTTGATAGCATTGATGTGCCCAGAAACATTCAATTAATTGATCAACGATTGGTATGATAAAACCAGAAAAGGTTTGGTAGTCTAAGATAATGCTTGTTATTAATTGTATTATTGTAAGACACCTTGAATAACTTAACAGGTCTACTTCTAGAACTGCTTGTACTATTGCAAGATGACGAATTTCTGGAAAAGTGGAAATAACATGTTAGTGCAGAGAAATTAAAATGCAGAAAATGTGTAGGCAAACACAACAAATTAAGTTTAAAAAAAGAGAAAAAAAAAAAGGTGATGTTAAATCATGACTTCTGGAATTTACTTGACTAATTACTTTATTTGCTCTCAATGGTTATTTTAGGGTTTTGAGGAAAACATATTTAGGTGATCAGTACGAATCCTGTATTAGAATAGGAAAATATCCTAATCTTTATTATTACAATGGCGTTTCACTTTACATTATTAGATTATTTTAACAGAAGGATGTGTTATGATAAAACAGTATTTAATGTAGAGAATTTTACAGTGCATTATCAAAATAAAAATAAAAAATCTTTGTATACTGTAAACTGCCAAGCACCTAATATTGGGAGTTGTGTGCTTCCTCAGATCACCTACAGAGAGGATGGAGTGCTCATTTGAAAACTTTGACAGCTAACTAATATTTAAATTTAGTACCCATTCACTATGACCTGCGAAGAGACTAGGGTCCTAAATCATAGGCTCTCAACATGCTTTAGTTTCATTCATTTTATATAGTGTGTTACTTCACTTCATGTTGAATAAGTACAGTTATTGAAAACACAAAGAAAAAACTTTGCAGTCAGTTTTAACAAGCAGCTTCATAATTGTTCTGTATTTTTAAAAAATCATTGAAAGATGAGTGAAAAACCAAAACTCTGAACACGCTACATATTAAGGATTCAGGTTAGTTTGAGTTCAATTCAGGTTAGTTTGTATTTGTCATAAAATATTATTTCTTCATATTAGTTCATAACTTCTTTTGCTGAACAATATTCTAATAGTATTTTTGTCTTTTGAAATTTCATAAATTGAAACCACTGGCATTCAACACAGACGACCAAATGCCATCTAAATAATGTATTAAGGCTAGACTACTTGTGGTATTGTGTGGTTGTACACAAGTAAATCCTACTTGTGAATTCGTATTTTAATGTTTTAATTTTTCTTCAATTCTTGGTTTTAATAATGAACAATTTTTTTTTCTTTCCCCCAGGTGGAAATTCATCCACATTACAGACAGCCTGAATTGACAGCTTTTTGTAAGGAGCATAATATATATGTCCAAGCTTACTGTTCATTAGGAGGATCTGGACAAGATGCTTTGATGAAAGATCCATCTGTTGAAGCAATTGCTCGCACACTGCAGCGACCTGCTGCCCAGATTTTGTTACGTTGGGCTCTTCAGAATAATTTATGTAAGTGCAATACTAAGGTCTTTTCACAGCTTATGATTCAGTTCACAATTGTATTTAGTAGAGCTATTTGATAAATATTTTGTGACCAATGTCATTATAATAAAATTATGAATGTAGTTTTGTGTTTAGCAACAATGTCTTGGAATGTTGTTTTAGTAATTTATGAAATTAATTACTAATGTAATGTTCATACATAAAGTACTATCATCTTATCATTATACCCTAATTGTAATATAATATTGTATATTGGTGAAACTTTATTTATTGACTTTTTTATTTTTTTCTTATTTAAACCATTCATTATTGAAATCATCAAATTTACAGATAGATTAAAGAATTTTGGTGAATTAAATTTAGCAATAATATATATTACAGAATTGTTTGTGCTGCACTTAAATAATAATATTTACTAAATTAATTTCTTTCTTATGTATTTTTTTCTAGTAATCATTCCAAAGTCACTTTCTCCAGATCGAATAAGGTCCAATATTGAATTGGACTTCACAATTCCAGAACAAGAAATGAAGGTGTTGAATAACATGTCTCATCAGCACAAATATGCTTGGGATCCGTTAACAATTTTATAAACTATTCTGGGTAAAATAAATTGAGTATACGCTCTTGGAATTGAATGCGATTTATTGTTACATGTTAGCTAGCTTCTATGCTTTGTGAATGAATGTATATATAAATTTATCATTGTGTAGAAGATATAGATCTTTGTTTAAATATATCCATTGTAATTCTGAGATAGTACAGGAGACTTAAAAATTGATTATGATTATATTTGACTAAGTATAATGGCCTCTGAAGTGATAGTCATGGCTAGTAATAAAGCAAAAAACACAAAATTAGCTGACAGGATTGCAGACTTATGCTTTCAGAAATATAATGAATTGCCGAAAAAGGGAAAACCTAATAAGTTTGAATGGACTTACATGGCAGGTATTGTGAAAGTTGAGGGCTGGCAAAGAGGTGGTGGATATGATGTAGATTCTTTGCGAATGGAAGTGGTGAGTTTAGGAACTGGATCAAAGTGTATTGGTCAGTCAAAATTGAGTTGTAATGGGGATATTTTAAATGACAGTCATGCAGAGGTCATGGCACGCCGTGGTTTTTTACGATATCTTTATGAACAAATGTATGAGCATCGAATGCTAAATTCACATATCTTTGAAGGAACAACTTGTGAAGGAAAGTGCATTTTGAAACAAAATATAACATTTCACTTTTTTATTACTCATACACCATGTGGAGATGCATCCATATTTCCTAAAGCAATTATGTATGAGGAAGGACCTGGTAATTGTTTGAAAGGAAGTGAATCTGTTGCAAATGAAAATTCAAATGTCTCTGCAGAGACTGGTAGTTCTGCTGGCACTGCATTTGGGGATCTGATATGCGAGACCTTGTCTACTGGCCCTTATGAAAGTTGTAAAAGGCGAAGTGACTCTTACAAAAACAGCCAAGAAGTCAAAAGACTAAAAATGGATGACCAAGGTAATAAAATGGGTGATCCTGACAAAGACTTGTCCATGCAGCATTATTACGACAATGATATCCACAGAACTGGTGGAAAATGTCTCAGAAATGAAGAGAGACAAGACTCTCATCTGCCTGGAAGTGCTTACCACACAGTAGGTGCAGTGCGCACTAAACCAGGACGGGGAGATCCTACACTGTCTGTATCATGCAGTGATAAGTTGGCCCGTTGGAATGCTGTTGGGGTGCAAGGGGCATTGTTAGCTCAGCTTCTGGATCGTCCCATATACTTTCAGACAATTGTAATTGCTGGTGGCGTTCCCTTCTCAGAAACTGCCATGTTTCGAGCAGTGAGAGGTCGCTTGCAAAAGCATGCTAATTGTCTTAAGGATCCATTTATTGTAGCATCGCCGCTTTTGCTGCAATCAACTGTGCCATTTATTGATGCCAGGATAAAGGACAAAAACCCATGTCCTTCCAGTATAGTATGGTGCCATGTAAAAGAAAGGTAATTTATGCTCAATTTTTATAATTATTTTGAAAATTAATTTAAAATTTGGTTCTATATATGTGGAAAACTTTGTTTTCAGGGATCTGGAAGTAGCTGTTGGTGGCAAAAAGCAAGGCTTCACAAAGAAAGCTACTCAGACTATTTCTGGGAGATTATCAATATGTAAAAAGGAGTTATTTAAACAGTATTTTCATGTTATGCATCTCTTTAAGGTACGTCACCTTCTCATTCCTTTGACATCAAACCAGGTATTGGATGATGATCAGGTGGATGAAATGACCTATCTGACAGCAAAAAACAAAGCTCGTGACTACCAGGATGCATGGAGAACAATAAGGGCAGCAGCGTTCCCTGCTTGGTCCTCCAAATGTAGTGCTCTGTTGCTTTTCACTCCTGAAGATAAGGCCCCTACAGTCTTAAACCTTCAAACCCTTCAAAGATACAGGCGTGTCTGAGGCAAAAATTGCTTTATTTTCCAAGCAGTTTACAAACATTTATTTCAATATGCAGTGAGTGTTTGATGTCATTTCATAAATTATTTGTATAAATAATGGTACAAATAAAATGAGTATTTTTGTGAGCGGCTTTTGTAAAATATTTGGCTTAACAACCAGAATGTTGAAGAGTCAGCAAATTACAAAATACTTTGCTACTCAGCATTCTATTGAAAACATGTGTATCTAAATACAACTTAGTTTTCATGGCATCTACTTTATGTAATAGTTATGGAATGATGTATGCAAGCACTTGTGAAACAGTTCAAATGTTTTGACATGCACCTTGTTTTGTGCAATACTTAGAATTAAGCTTTTTTGCCTGGTAAGGTAAATTAAACTATCTATAAAGAATAATTTACTTTTTTGTAGAAAAAAAGCAACAATGTAACTCAAGAATTGAGGTATACAAATGTCTGCTGCAAAATAAATTCATTGCTACCAAGTACAAATACTGTATAACAACATTTGGCTTAACAATTTATTCTTAACAACCAACTCTTAACATTACCTTAACAGCGATTTAAAAATTCGTAAGATGTTCTATTTCCTTTTCCTAAGATTCTGTTAGAGAACTAACAAGAACCCTTATGGAATGCTCTATCTTTACAGCAGATATGCTGGACATGGGTACTCACTCAGTAAGAAAAAAAAATCTTACAAAAAAAAAAGAATAGGAACATTTATTCTATAATATAGAAGAATGAACTAGAAAGTTTGTGCATTGATTTTAAAAATTGAGATTTGTATTATTTAGTTGCAAGAAATTGTTTCCATTATTAATGTAAAAAATTCCATTGTCAAATGAATAATGAAAATATTAAACCTCGTATTTATCTTCACTGAATATTTGTATATCAAAATTATTTCTATCTGCCATGTCAGTACAATCGTAGACAGTTTTAGAAGATATGTAGTTTTTTAAAAAATATTTATACTTTACATCTTTAACAGTGAGCATTTAAGTGCATGGTACAGTTTTAAGTATTTAAACCTACAAAGCTTGTAGTTCACAATGGACATGCGGGAAATGTCTTAAACCAGCTTTCAAATTCAGTTTTAAAAACATGAACAAGTAGTTACAACAAATACTATCATGAGATCCACATACTCCTTGCCATGTTCGAAGTCTTTCACAGAGGACGGAATTCAAGTGATGAATGTTGAGAAACGAACAGCAAGTTGAGATGAGAATCAAGACCAACGTTTTCCACCCGTTGAAGATTGGCAATACTACTTCCTGCATGTCGAACTACAACTGCTGTACCAGATACTCTCATTGTATGAGTATCCAATTTCTTGCCATCGTGGGCAGAGTCCATTGTCACATGACAAGTCACATCAACTTGGATGTATTTCACCACAGAACAGCCCTTTGGTCCTTTCACCTGCACAATAAAGAGACATTTATTATTTTGAGTTTGTGTTTCTATTGTAATTTCAAAATTTACTCTTACAGAATGTAATACCATTTCCTTTCAGGATTATGACAAGTTAGGTTTTCTCTAAAAACTTACCAATTCCTGTCTCACTTCTTGTTGGGCTGCATCAGCTCTGAATACTGTTGCTTCTCCCAAGCTCTGGCCATCAGCCATCACAGCAAATTTCATTCCTGCATGAACAGCCCTTGGCTCAAACCCAAGTCCATCAGGGTGAGAGTCACTCCAGAAAAAATTGGTGGAAGAGTTCAGGGAGTCTGAATCAGGAGCAAATGTAATGCGCTTTCCGTAACCCATTCCAATAGATGCCAACCGCAGTGAGCGGCCCTGGAATAAAGGTCGCCTGCTGCCAGCTGGCCTGACACGATAGAAGAAGCCAGGAGTAATGCGAGGATCCACATATGTTCCTGCAAAGATGATGTTTTGTTATTGTAAATGTGTAACAGTTGTTTAATTTTAAAATTTGAAAACAATAGTAAAAATTATGTAATTAATGCGCTAAATGGAAATGTGAAAATGTATAGCTCTTATTTATAAAATTGAATTTATCTTCCAAATTGTTTTCTCTTTCTATCAAAACTTAGTTTTAAATCATTCTAAACCTTATTCAAAATTCAATTTTCAGCTTAGAGAAGTTTTTAAATGTTATAAAAATATGAAAACTCTTTTCTTGCCTCGTGGGACTGAAATTTGTACTCACCAATAACAGGGTGTTCGTAGGCCTCCAGACCAGTAATGGAGTATCTTGCAGGTACATCACCAATATCTTCTCCTCTGACAGTGATTTGTCTACTTTGAGCATTCACACCTGGTGTGAGAGTAAAGCCTCTTCGCTGGTGAACACCAACACAGGCATTTATCACATGTTCCACTACAGCTCTTTGTGCACCTTTGGCTCGAACAGCAACAACTACACCACTCACCTAAAAGAAAGTTAACATATTAGTCTCTTTACCTTGAAGTATACTTTATTCACATTCCTTCAAAGTTCTTATTTATTCCAACACTTACAGGGACTACTACTGGTGACTGGCCGTCATCAAACCATTCCACTTTGCACAGGGCGTGAATCTGAACTGATTTTTGTACAGAACCATTCCTGAGCACCTTGTGGTTTATTTCCTTTTGAGGTCGCTAAAATAAAAAAAGACAAGATAAATCACTTGATATTGTTATTGAAAATAAAGTAAATTATTTTGAGCTCTCAAAATTCAATTACCTGGATCTGAATGATTTCTGCTGTGCCTGCAATGACATGGTTAACATCCTGCAGGGTGAATTTGTCACCAGGAGAAATAGCTTCCAATTCAAAAGCCAGGCCCTGTGGTCTTGAATCTGACCACAGGTAGTTTTCGTTGTCATTGAGGGAACCAGGATTTGGCTCGAAAGTAAGACGTCGAGAATAACCCCGTCCGATACTTTGCAGAGTTAAAGCTCTTCCTCCAAACAAGTGCCTTCCTCGCTGAAAAAATATAGGATATTAATGTTGTGAAATTTATATGAAACGGTACCCTATTTGAATTTTTGAACACTTATTTAACTTGCTTCATAAACATTTCACGATTCAAATTTACCTTGTCGTCAAGAGGACGAACACGATAGCGGAAACCAGGAACAACTCGTGGATCAACCCAAAGACCCACAACAGGAAATTCATGAGAATGAAGGGCAGGTATCTCATAACGAGCTGGGAAGTCTCCAAGTTTTGAGGCATCCAAGATAATAGGCTCTTGCGACTTGAATGTTGTTACTTCTGGAATATGTTCCACATGTGAATCCTGCACAAAATAGAAAGTACTTTAGTGAGAAAGTTATTGAATCCTGAATGTCTTTATTTTGAAAATGGAATAATTGGAAACCCATCATTAACCAATTCTCTACAAATCAAAATTATTTATCCATATTACCAATAATCAAAGGACATTTAAACAATATTGATTACTTTGTCATTCACTTTATGGGGTGTCAATAGCCTGTGTTGATTGTTTTCAACATCTATGGCTTCTGAAGCCATTGACCTAAGAAAAGTAATTTAACATACGGCTTCCTCATTTCCGGAAGACAAATGTGCAATTGTGGGGATAGCTTAGATCCACTAATTGATATTGTTCTGTTGGTCAGAATGATTAACAATTATGAGTTTTCTTACATGGGGTTCAGTAGCAGGTTGTTGACAGAAGCAGGATTCAGCAAGCTGAGTTTGCGGCTTGGTTGCTGCTTCTTCCTGAAAGACAAGGTGTCTGTTAGAAAAGAACTTGTCATTGTGTTGTGCTCCATAAACCAATTTATATTGTTTGGATTAAAGTTGCCAATATGATTATAGAGTATAAACATTTCGCACATCGAACATTGTTACATTTTTAAGAGGTACAAAAAATATGGAAACTAGTGTACTTTTACTTTATTGGGAAAGAATTCACCTTGCACAGGTGAGTTCATAGTTAAATATACTTGCTTGACACGTAAACGATTTAGATCGTGAGCGGTTGTCTGGAATTATTTGCAGGAAACGAGAAATTTACCTGCCCTACTTTTCCTTCGTGAACCCTATTCTTCAATGAAAAATTATATCAGCAAATTTTGTACTTTTTCTATTATTTTATTAACACTCAGAATATGAACGTGGTATTACAATTTTCCTGAATACCGAAAAGGGTGTCGGGAACGTAATGCTTAATCAATAGAACGGCACATCTTGTAAAAATTAAAATATTAGATTTTCGTGCTCTGGAGTAGAAAGAAAGGGGCATCACTGATGTCGGCCACTCGAGTGCGCAGCAACGCAACTGTCTGAAGCGGCAGCTGCAGCCAGCGATTCCGCGACGCACGGCGGGTTGCGTGCGGCGGCCGCGTAGCTATGAACTGCTCACGGGCTAAGTTTGCTGCCAATGTCAGGTGGCTGACATCGGTAGTATCGAGCCGGCAGTTGCGTCGACAAATTGCTCCCAAGGAAGGTCGAAGGGCTTTTCTATTTTGGAACGAAAGTCACGACGTCCTGATGTGCGGAACATATCGCGGCCCTCGGTCAGAAATGAGCGACCTTTCCTCGAGCGTTTTGACGTCAAGGCGGCGCAGCTCTACTGTCATATAGAAACTTTTCCCAAATGTTCTTGGTGTCGAGATTCGTGAAAATTTTAAATAACTTTGTAATAAAATAAGGAATGTATTTCCGTCAGTCGTGGAAGAAAATTTCCGATCTGTTATAACGTGCAGTGCTAACCGAATACTTTAATTACATTTTCTTAATTAAAAAAAAAGATTAGGCCTTTCGGAAACTTTTGCTTACAAGTAACAGTTCAATAATATTTAACTACACAATCTCTTTCAGACCTGTCTGCTTGCCTGCATTCGCCTGGGTACGACGCGTTCAGCCTAAAGTCAAACACATCTGCAGCGCATAAAGATAATTACCGCACTAGGTGCTACCTGCTCTTGGCTCGAGCAACGACGAACGCAGTAGGGCCTCGGCAAGAAATAACTCATATTCGTGATTACGTAAAGAGCGCGTGGGGATTGTGGCGCCTCGCTTTTTGGCAGCTGCCTTAGGGCACTACGGCTATTTTTGGCCCGCGTGGCTAATGCAACAGCCCGCGCTCCCGCCCACCATTCAGAGGCCGCTGTCTGGACTGACGTGTCTAACTGGACGTGTATTTACACAAAACGTTACTCACCACTGCAACCGGAATTTAAGAATCGTTCAGTCGATGTTTCATACTCGCATCTTTTCTAAAAGGCAAATGCAGAGTCCACTCAAACATGCAAGGTGTACAGTGTACACACACACACTATTAAATGAAATTGCCTTAGAGCTTTTAAAAGGATTAAATACGATTAAATTAAGAACGAGAATAATATTACGTGAAACAAGTTTGTTTCCGTAACACAAGGGAATCAAATAATGGCGATCCCAGACTGAGTTTTTGGCGCCGCCAATTTAGAACACCTGTGTACTTGCTTCAAACATGGTCTCGGGTTCGCTTCCCAGTGAAAATATTACCGTGAAACTAAAACATGCCTTTAAAAAAAACATGGCCACCTATTGCAAATCAATACGTATTACTCAACCTTTTAAGTTATTATTAAAGTAAATTTAAACAATCATGAATACCATAGCCTTCATTATTTCGGAAAATCATTTCGGGACATTTATTGCGCCCCCATATCAATTTACCGATTTAAATTAATTATTTTTAATGTTTGGGTTTCATTATGGCTACGATTTTAGTGACTGACAGAACGCGTCTGTGAGCATCAACAGCGTCATTTCGAATAATGAATCTAAATATTGTGGTAGTTACGCGGCACGCCGGCGCAGCGCTGACAGCGTTGGCGTCGCTTCAGAGCCTTTTCATCAGAGCGATAAGGGCAGGCGAGTATAGTGTAGGCAAGCAGGCAGTCTTGTACCGCAAGATGCTCTTTCCAAGCACGTGAGGCAATCTACAATGCTGAGTTGCTTTAAAGAGACCGGCTTCGTGTTTTGAATGTTTTGTACAGATTTTATGAATTATTAAAAATGTCAAAACTAGTGCCGCAAAGGAACGCTGCGTTGTTTCGAATACTTATTACATTCCGAATAATTTATTGAATTTAGAAGTATCTGTGTGAGTTTTCCCCCCAACAGTTTAAATAATTTTCAGTTCCGGCAATAATGAATTATTTTTCAAAGAGAACTTCCAACTTTTTGTATTACGTTCTCTAATCCGTAAATATTCCTGCGGAGGTACATCAAAAAGTAGTTTTATGAAGTTAAAAAATGCTGACTTACATTACTTTCCTGAAGGGACCAGAAATATATTCAAGAATTTATTTTTTATAAAGAAGGAAGTAATAGTAAATGAATTACAAACATTTGAAAAGTTGAATTTATTTAACTACGAAGAAAAAAATTCTAGAAAAAAATCTCGAATTTATAAAGCTTTAAAAAAATCTCGAAACCTTCTCCCACCGAATCTGCGAGGAAAAAATATACCTCGAATTCTCTGCGGCCAAACTTTCAAGACTTTCAAAGCGAATTCTTGAAGGAAGGTATACGAGTGCCTTGGGTAGGAGGTACGAACCCTTGCCCCGCCATCAGCGGAGGGTAGGTGGGTGTCGAAATAGAATTGACTGATCCCAACAATAGGTGTATGGGTGAATAGGCAGAAGGGGGCTGAAGAGCGTCTCACCTGCTCCTGAGGGAAGAAGTCGTCGAGCAGGCCAGGCTCGTCGGCATGGGTCACCGTCATGGTGGGGCGGCGGGCCCAGAAGCGCTGCAGCGCGGCTTCCTGCTCCTGAGGCATCTCCATGGCGAGGGGGCTCTCCATTTCTGCAACGGCGAAGGAGCGGTTATTCCAGTGCTCGAGACGCTCATCGGCGCAAAGCGCTGCGCGGATGCTGAAGTAGCTCTTCACCCTCTTAGTAAACCCCTTTACGAAACTTTCACACGAAGGGTTTCACCCGAATGCGGTAACCTAAACTCGCGTTTACACAGCATTTTGGCATCGGCAGTGTATTTTATCCAAAAATGTATTTTAGTAGGAAGCTTAAGTACCACATAATGACTCACGGATTCATCACTTCCCCGACAAAAAAGTGTTGCGATAACGCCCGAAGAAGCCGAATCTTGGAGGTCTCCTGAGTTAACTCGTGAAGAGCGGGGAGATAACGCACGCGGCATGTCGCCAAGCATTGACGCATGGTCGTAGTAGCGCGACGGCGACGGGGCGATGCCCCACGCGGGCGTATCAGGCCCGATCCATTGAGGAATCGCATTCTCCAGCCTTGGGAGTTTTCCGTCTCGCTCGCTCACACCCGGAATACGACGCGTGAGAGCGAGCTAGAGAACGCCGTTCAAAGGCCCCTTCCGACTTCCCCCACTCCGGCGCCCACGCTCGCGTAGTCTACGCTAGGAGCCGCCGCCGCCGCCGCCGCCGCCACCACCACCGTCTCAAGTTCAAGGCGGCGGCGGCGTCGCCTCGCGGGACCGTAGGCCTCCGCTCGCGTGTCCCGCTTTCAGGTTTTCTCACCGGCCGCCCCCTCCATTGACGCCTCCGCCGCCGGGAAGGAATGCGTCCTTCCAGGCGGCGTTGCCACGTCGCGGGCCAGGCGCGGCCCTCGACGCGTGGAGGGAGGGGATCGGCAACCATGAGCGGTGGGAGGAGACCTGCTTTGAAACGGGCGTTCCAGCGGCCTACGAACGCGACCCCCTCCCTCCTTCCCACGCGATGAGGCAACAGCGCGGACCCTTCTATGGGTAGTCCCCCCTCTCCCACGCCTCGTTCTGGAAGTTTCTCCGGAACAGGACCGAATCGATGGGGCGGCCTAGCGGTTTCTTTATGGCCTGGAACCGGTGGAATTCGCGTTACTTGAAGTGAACTACCTCAATAGAATTTCTTTTTTCGAATTTGAAATGAAATTTTCGAGGAGAAAGGTATATAAGATAAATTGTCTATGCCGAAATAGAGAAAATGGCGTTTACGATGTCAAGAAGAAAAAGTAACGGAAGAAAGCATTGCTTAGAGAAATAAATTAGAAATCTACGCAACGTAATCTGTGCTAAAACATATTCGATAATTTAAAAAGTTGGTGATTGAAAATACTAGAAGAGATATATATCGGAATGTAGTAGAGTTGGCGTGCGATATTCCAATTAGACCGGTTTGTTACTCGTCGGTCGAAGATTCCAGGAAAAATCGTATGTGGAAGGAAGCGACTTTGGGAGAAGGGAAACTACCCCGTTGGGAAGCTGCGACGCTCGCGTCAATACCCAGCGCCTGGAACGGACGGTTACCCGCGCCAAGTTCGGGGAGCGGCCCCGCCCAGACGATGTGTCCTAGCGAGATGCACCAGCTGAAGGCTCTGGCCACCAAGTCGGCCAGGCGTTCCACCCGCGCTCGAACCACGCACCCCGAGCTGAGCAGCATCCCGTGTGCTCGTGGTTCGCCCCGGGGTGCGTGTACGCGACCCGCCCTCCTCGCCCGGACTGGCCCCTCGGCCGAAGAGAAGAGCTACTCAGCCCCGCCAAGCTTTCGACAGTGCCCAACCCCTCCCGCATTCCCGTGTGACGTACTTTTTGCAGAAGTGCGATCTCAAAATAGACGTAGAATGAAATAGATTCGCGTCTGGAAGTCGCTCCGAAGACAGAAAGAAAGGTTCTCGGGAGCTATACACACACGAAGCACCAACGCTCACACACTATTTCTGACTCGTGGCGGCGCGGCCGTCTCGCCCGATTATATAGCTTGTCGTAGCGCCAAGAGCCGCGATTGGTCGGCGCGGCCGCCCGCCCGCGCACGCCATTGGCTGGAGGGCGGCCAGCCCTTGCTGCGACGGCGGCCGCAGCGCGGGCGGCGGCGCTGGCGGCGGCCGCGGCGTCCCCCGCACCCCCCGCGCCCTCCACCGCGGGGAATGCGCGGCGGCGACGGTGTGCACGCGCTGAGCACGTGGACAAGGCGCCGGGGCCGCCGCCGCCGCCGCCGCCACCACCGCCGCCGCCGGGCAGCGTCGCGACGCCGTGAGCTGTCCCGGCGCTTAAACGGGGTTCTTGGCGCTCCCCGCCCCTCATTTACCCCTTCCATCCCCCACCCCCGTGGGAAGCGCATTGGCTCTCTCTGCTTTGTGCATCCCTGTGTTTATCACAACCTGCTCCACGGTCGAGTTTACGGTTTGGCGTCCTTCCGGCCAACGACCGCACCCAAAAGTGATGCAGCCTTGTGTTTAGGTTGTGATAAACACCTGTTTCACTGGTGATAGTTTCTTTGACAACAAAAAGAAACAATCGGGTTCTACCGTCGACCCATAAAAGTCTGGTTTTAGGTTGTAGGAACATTGACACCATCTGGCAGTCACTTGTAGAACGTACAAAACTGCAAATACAAACACAAAGGAAATGCTGCTATTACTTGCGTACATCAAATCTCAAAGATTTATATTCCAATTAAGAAGTTTTTGATTCGAGTCATCTGATAATATAATAGACGACAAAAGTCGTTAGATGTATTTAAAAGCATTCGAAAATTGTTAATGTTTTAAAATTAATTTATATAACATTTTATTTACAAAGCTAATTAATCATCCTTCACTCATCCATTAGTTCTTCATTTCCAGGAAATAAACTTATTCTATAAAACTTTTCGTTATTTTGTAACTTACTAGGACATCTGCGGTCTGGTAAATATACTCCGTTTGAGGTCATTTTTACGTTGTTGCATTACTTTATTCGTATTTCCCTCAAGAGAGTTTCCCAGCTGCGGTTTAGGAACTCGCTATCTCTCATCTTATTATACAAAATGTGTGACTAATGTTGCGGTAGTTTCGATTAAAACGTTTGTTCATTTCCCGTCTGTGCGTTTATTCTATTTATGTATTTAGTCAGATGGGCTCTCGTCAGCCCTGCACTAATCAACAGGCGTCGACTCGAATTCGGATCAAGGCTGGTACGGCGATTTCCTTTTTTGCGGTCAGTGGCGCCGTATTATGAGCTCATTTTACGGGCATTCACAGCCTGCTTACTCATGTTGCCCTACTCCGTCGAAACCGAACAGGTACAATACAAAGCAAGGATAGTCGAAGTTTGAACAGTTGAGAACTAAAAATATACACAATTGTTAAAAATAAGTCAATGGGAATACAAATATTCGATATTTTCAGCTTCGCGTGTGATATAAAAAGCTTGTTGGTTTAATAACTTGACCACTCTCAAATGGGTGAACGCGATCTACACCCTGCCGCCATTTTGCGTAACGCTTTTCTACCCTGCTCTCGAAGGGCCCGTGGTGCGGTTGGGGCGGTGTGGGTGCAACCGAAGAGCAGCCACGCTGACACGGCGCGGCGGCTGGCGTCCCAGGCACCGCTCGCCGCGCCGCCGCCGCCGCCGCCGCCGCAACAAGAAACGGACGTCCCGTGCTGTGCACGAGCGGCATACGGGAGCTCCGAGCTCGCAAATAGAAAGCTGGAAGTGAGCGAGGGGCGTCCCACGCAGCCTGGCTTCGAGCTCGGTTGCCGCAACTGGCTCTTCGCAGAACTACGCTTCGGGGGAAACACACTACTCGAGAACCGCGGGCGAACACTTGGGCTCGATGTTTCTTTCTCTTTCTTTTCTGGAAACTTCTTCCCTCCAGTTTGTTGCGATGTGTGACTGATATGGTTTGATTTGGTATTATGTTTTTGAATATAATATATATACGCCGTTTAGTAGTGTTTTGTTACCAACAGAAGAACGATGTCCTTGTCATTTAATTACCAAAAAATGTTAAGATATAAATAAATGAGAAAACATATTGTAAAAATGACTGTGACAAAGGATGTCACTAAATTTTTCCACGAATTGATGAATCGCTGAAAATATTCTTTAATTAACATATTTTTGTCCTTTGCTATTTATACCTTTCTTTACATTAGCACGTTCCTAATTAATTTGTCGATTAGATCTGTCACATTAACCGAAGGAAAACACCTTCTGTGTTCACAGTGACTTTCGGGATTCGAATTGCATCACTTGTGCAATTCGCAGCTGGTCACTTTTTGAGAACATGTTTACTTAATATGGCTTGTAAGTATGTGTTTGTTCAAGTTAGACCTGGCATGCATTAGTGTGAGGAAAAATGTGTAAAAACGACCCTTGTACAGATCTTTAAAAAAGTGTTATGTTGGTTATTTTGAGTTTCATCGAATTACTATTCTTGCACAACCTGTGAGATCAATACGTAATAGATGAAACATACTCTCAGACAATATTCCATTATCAAGACAGGTTTTCCAAGAGACACTACTTAAGATAAGAGTTGTAAGAATAGATGTGATAATAATGTTTGGTTTTGAATTGATTTCTTCTAAACTTTTACGAAATCAACAATCCTGAATTAGGAAGTATTAGGTGACTAACATTTTATTCATTTAAACAAAAAACATATCTTTTTTATGAATATTAGAAATTGATTTAGTGAAATGGATATTTTTAGATCTCGCCGTGCATATCTCACAAATGACTCACAACAAACCGCACAAATTATCGCACCGTCTTTACTAAATACCTATTAGTTACGAGGGTCCTACACAAATCTCGATGTGGCACACTATATACCGGAGATGTCAACAATGGTGGTTGTGATTAGCATACCTGAGGCAGGCAGGCTAGTGGCCACAACCAGGGGAGGGAGTGCGATCCCAGAGGAGCAATTGTGCAAGCCCAGACCTACGGCGACAGCGCGTCCGACGCGGCAAGACGGAGCGAGGTGGGGGGTGCGGGTAGCGGGGCTGAGCGAGGCAGAGCGTAGCACAGCGGGTTGGGGGGTGGGGGGCGGGAGAAGCCTCTGGGTGACGTCCGCGCAGCGTTGAGCGTCCCTCGCGTACTCCACGTCACAGGCGCAGCCGCCGCCACCGCCGCTGCAGATCCCCTCAGACTTCGAACTTGCGCAACTAGGCGAACTCTGCTTCGTGCGTAGTTCTTTATTGCGCGGAGATATATCCCGGATTCGCCGCTCCGGCGCTGGAACTAGTTCGGCCATTTTGTGATCGATGGGGCCTTTGGAACCCATCGGCAGTTCACAGGGTGTTCGCTCTTTTCCAGTCATTTCTTACATCATTACTTTTATTTTATTATTTATTAAACAAACTTTGGGATTAGAACTTCGATTAGAGGAAACGACACTACCAAATTGAACACAAAAATAATGGCCACTAAAAGTATTGAAACATTAGGTAATGGTGATTCCCGGTTTCTTTAAACAAATTGATTTGAGGGAGTTTTAGGACATTTGTAACGTCCTGAACTCATTGCTCTCTAAATTACGTGACGAGATGTAATTAATAACACTGGAATAAAACAGCTTTTTAGCAAGCAGCCGGCACACCTTACACATTGTAATGAAAGAACGTCGCTAAGGACAAAAAGAAGGCGACAGATCTTCGCAGATTAAAAAAAAGCTGTGCTCACTTTCATTCCACATATTTATTTAACTTGCTCCAGTTTGGTTTATCGTTGCTCAAAACGACATATACACGATTTCCGTTTAAGAAGCGTCAATGTATAGTTCAATTGACTAATCTTACAATGAACCGCATATACAATCCAAGAAATATCAATTTAATCTGCAATCATTGCATTCTTATTATTGATACACATCCATTTTCTTCTTTAGCGTGAAATCTTTGGCACTTACTATCCGGCTTACCAGGCACGGCATCCATTATGAACGAACAGATTGGTATAAGATTAAACTTGCAAGGTTCATCTTTACACGCCAGTCGCATGACTCGTAGTGCGTAAGGTCAAGACATTACAATTCTACTAAAAAATAGTATTATCTTCCCTGTCCTATATTCTCAGCGTGTACCATTTCTTCCCATCACCGGATCCCCCTCTATAGGTATTTGGGATTGGGTCTCTGTAGGTAGAGGTTCGCTGCTGGCGGTACCCACTTACATGGATGACATTGAATTATTGTAACAATGATTTCGCATATAACATGAGTAGAAATTTCAAGAGTTTATAATTTGCTGGATTGTTAAATACGCGTTATTAGTATCGGTTAACAAGTATTAGATTGAACTGAAATGCAGGGCGAAATATGTTGGGAAAAGTTGATGCTAATAATTTTTATATTCATGGTTTTAATGTATCAACTAAAAAATGTACTTATGAGTTCGCTATTTTTACATTTAAATGCTGCACGATGGTTCTGCTGACAGCCTTCTGGCTCATTGAAAATAAAACTCTTTATAATTTAATTTCGTAATGAATCATCAACATTTTTATAATATGTAGTACAAATATTGCCCTAAAAAGAGTCTGCGTGTACAAATTTCAAATCTTTTTTGAAATCTCTCTCATACTAATAGATGTAAATGAAGTTTTCGCTGAAATCATATGACCTTCGAGAAGACGCCCACTGATACTGAATTATCAAAGGCCAAATAACTTAAGCCATCAACTCCATACATTTGTTTGATTTATATAATGCATGCATATTTAAATATGTAAATAGCATAATTTATTACTCAGGTCGTATCCTTCATTAAAATCGTTTTGT